GAAATTAAGAAGGTGTCTGCTTAAGTGTGGGTAACCAATGTAATTCACTATAATAACAACACAAAGTTAAATAAAAACCCTATAGTAGAGCCCTTGCTTTAAGGTTAGTATAAGATCTATATATATCTGTATTTACGAGTTAACAATCCCTTGTTCTTTCAATAAAGCTTGAAGTTCACCTTTTTCGTACATTTCTTTAATGATGTCACAACCACCAATAAAATCTTGCTTAATGTATAGCTGTGGAATTGTTGGCCAATCAGAAAATTTTTTTATGGATTCACGTATTTCATTATTTTCTAGTACATTAATATCCTTAAACTTTACATTTAGCTTTTTGAGAATTGATACTACAACTCCAGAGAACCCGCACTGAGGAAAATCATAGGTACCTTTCATGTAAAGCACCACATCATTTCCTGCGATATCTTTTTTTATTTGTTCAAAATCACTCATAAATTTACCTCAATAAGTATTAGTTTCTAGCTGCAAAGCATGTATAGAGTGACCTTCCAAAGCTTTATGTACCATTCTATGTTGTTCTATTTTTGTTTTCCCAAGAAAACTCCTGGAGGTTATTTTCAAGTAATAGTGATCATTATCTCCAGCAAGGTCAAAAATTTTCACTTCTGCATCAGGAAACGCTTGCTTAATGATCTCCTCTAATTCATGAGTTGCGATAGCCATAAAATGTCTGTTTATTATATTATAAATCTAAAGTGATAAGATGCAATTGAATTTTCAATACTATCTTATGATTTTTATTAAAAAATTGTATACTGCATGCTTTGGGGTAAAGTTTTATGCGCCTTGCAGTCATTTATTTGATATGTTTTTTATGTGTTGATGTTTATGCAATAGATAGAGTTGATATTATTGCTCCCTCTTGTAAAGGAATGGAGTCGAATCTAACTCGCATTAGAGAGTATGTGAAAACTCTGGACCTGGATGCTCATATTGCTGAAAAAATATATAGCAATGACAACCCATTTTATTCTAATTCTGATGAATTTAGGGCAAATGATTTGATTAACGCATTGACAGATAATAGTAAGATAATTTGGTGTATAAAAGGAGGGAAGGGGGCCTCTCGATTAATTTCTTACCTGGAAAGACTACCTGATGAGCAAAAAGAAAAAATTGCTCAGAATAAAAACAAAAAGATTCTGATAGGTTACAGTGATATCACTCCTTTACATATCTATCTGCAAATAAAATATGATTGGCAAACTCTTCATGGTACCATGCTGGAGATGATAGTAAATACCCTAGTTTCTCAAGATTCTATTGATAAACTACAAGCATTAATTCTTGGTAAGCAAGATTCTATTAGATTTGATAATTTAAAGATAATTAATGAATTAAACCATGGCAATGGTAATATAAAATCGACAATCATAGGTGGCAATATGACTTTGATTGAAAACGGCGTAGGCACTACTTGGCAAATAAATGCAAAAGATAAGATTTTATTTTTAGAAGACATAGGGGTTTCTCCATATGCAATGGAGCGTAGTTTAGATCACTTAAAACAAGCCAATATTTTTGATAAAGTATGTGCGGTAATTTTTGGTGATTTTATTAATTCAGGTGATGATGATTTAGTAGCAGTTGTCAAAAAGCGATTTGCACAAAGCGTTAACTTTCCAGTGTTCACAATGCACGGAGTGGGTCATGGGTTCATAAATAATCCCTTACCTTTGAATACTTCTGCTGTTATTAACATTCAAGACGAAAAAAAAGGTTTATTTTTTATGGATGTACAGAATGTTAACTGTTCTCCCTAGGCTCTGTGAACCAAAATTTTAAGCAAGCCATATGAGGGCCCCAACGAAGTTTAAAAAGCCTAAATAAACCGTGGCAGTCTTATCAAATCTTGAAAAAATCCGCCTAAAATGTTTTATTTTGCCGAAAAAGCATTCAATCAAATGACGTTCTTTATAAATATGCTCATCATAATACCTCTGCACTTTTCGGTTACGCTTCGGAGGAATAACAACCTCACACCCTTTATTCTCAAGACCCACAATAAAAGCATTACTATCATAGCCCTTATCGGCCACCACAACTGAATTTGAGACATTCTCAGTTAATGCTTCAGCCTGTGTAATATCGTTCCTTTGACCAGCAGTTAAAGTAAATTTAAGCGGATTTCCCAGAGCATCAACAAGAGCATGTATCTTTGTTGTAAAGCCACCTTTGCTGCGTCCCAGTGCTTCTTGAGCTCCGGTATCCTTCTTGTATCCAGCCGCACAAGCATGTGCTCTAACGATTGTTCCATCTATCATTTGCACTTCCAAATCTGGATCTTGTGTATATTTGAGCAGCTTTTCCCAAATNATTTAGATCACTTAAAACAAGCCAATATTTTTGATAAAGTATGTGCGGTAATTTTTGGTGATTTTATTAATTCAGGTGATGATGATTTAGTAGCAGTTGTCAAAAAGCGATTTGCACAAAGCGTTAACTTTCCAGTGTTCACAATGCACGGAGTGGGTCATGGGTTCATAAATAATCCCTTACCTTTGAATACTTCTGCTGTTATTAACATTCAAGACGAAAAAAAAGGTTTATTTTTTATGGATGTACAGAATGTTAACTGTTCTCCCTAAACTGAATATACCTCTTGCCAAATGAGAAGCCTATTCAGGAAAAATT